CAAAAACGAGAAAAAACCCATTCCAAACAGCAGCTAAACCTCAGTGAATCCTGAACAACCAAAGCCTTATCTCTTTAGAGCCTTGCTTTTTTTACCGTAACGGTGCGGATTAAACCATCACCAGACCTGAAAATCCCCTGTGCAGCGCTCACATTTGGCAGCGCCGTGCTAAGGCCACAGATTTACTGAATTGCTGCAGAATGAGAGAAAACCACTCGCAACCTCTCGTTTACATGACTCATCCAATTCGGCTGACCCATTTGAATCCATCGTGTTTTTAGGCATGCATTACTGCTGTTCTTGTCGTCGTCGCTTACAACAAAACCGGCTGCTTTATCTCATTAAACGTGTTCGGAGTTACATACGCTTACGCGATTCCACTTTATATGTTTGCATGTAGAACAGCCTTTTTGTGGCATAGGTACAATTTTAGCGTTGCTGATCTATATGTGCGCAAAATTGACCAGGCCTAGCTTTTCCAGGCAGGGAAAGGCTGATGATGCACTGTGCTGAGTACGTCATCCAGATTCGGCGGCTATAAAAGCAATCTGGAGTGGAGTAGCGCCATTTCAGTTCAGAACGAAAGCACTGACGATATTCACGGCCTGCGATATTACGCCCAAAGTCTTTAACTTCGGACATTAACTCGAACATCTCGCAAGTTTTCGGCTTATTTCATTTGTCAGCCCTTGGCTTGGGCACGTGAAAATAGCAGATGGTTGGCGGAGGCAAAATGGGAAAAGAATTGGGTCCAAAGTGCGTCTGACAAGTTTGCGCTCCAGGCTGTTTGCGACGGGAAAACAGCCCATTCTTCTTCGTTCTTTGTGCCCCCAACGGGCGAGATGTTGCGGGTAATGAATTGTTGACAGAGTACATGCCAAAAAATTCGGCGGTATGAGCTGAAATTTGCCGGTACCAGCAAATTTCAGCTACCCTTGGATCATAGTCGAGTGAGTTGAAGCATCAAAATATGATTTACATTTCAAAAAGGTAACAAAAGCCCTTTACGAAGGGCTGTGTAAAAAAACAGTGCGCAGCCAGCGAAGAGTTGGTCAGGTGATAGATGAGCCAGCTGTTAAGTGCAACTTTAAGCAAGAATTTTGCCTTAGGTGCACTGACCTCGTACCTTCATTGCCCGTCCTGAACTACTGCGAGCTAAAAGGTTCTTAGGAAAGCGGCGTGAACACGGAATGAAAATCACACCGAGCACAAGCTTGAGCACAGCTAACCAAAAATCTAACACACTGTGCATAAAAAGTACGTATTTAGCGGAGTTAGGTATGCATAGTAAATTGCACAATATGATCGTCTGCAAATCGTAGCATGCGAGCAGCGTCATCCATTTCCTATCCATCTGTTTTTCAGACAGTTTCGCACAACTTGTGCAAAGTCTCCAGCGCAAAAAACTGTTCGAAAACAATGCACGCTTTCCTAAGCAACAACATTAGGAACATCTAGAAATATGGCTTCATGAAACAGTTTCTTTTTGGCTAGTGTCATGACATTGTCCATCTATCACATTTTGCCTGCTCTCTGTAGTCAAAACACAGGACTCCAAAGTCACGATTGCACTAATAAAACGAAGATAAACAAAATGGAGCTTGGACAATTGCTTTGAATGCAGAGGACAGCACAATTTGTGTCATGGCAATATGCATGGTCTTTGGCGATATCAATTTACTGACCATGCTGCATGAGCAACAATTACGTAACGTCGTGAAGTTCATTAGCGAGAAACATTGTTGACATATATGAACAGTAAGTAAAACATCATTCCTCGGAGAAAAAAAAACTGGGAGAATAGGGAAATAAATGCCTTGGAATTTCGGCAACACGCCTTTGTCGACACAATAGCAGAAGTGAGTTCAAAATTGTCTAATTACTTCTGCCTTATCTATGTGCATAACAACAACCTTATAGAGCACAGTGCAGTAAAAATAATTTGTGACACCAGCATGGACAAATGCCGCTAGGATATTCAACTACAGCATTACATAAAGCACAACAGGTAACAACGCTATTCTGATGCTATCTCTTGTGTGCTATGCAATGTTATAGTTCAATGTTTTTGTTGCGTTTACTCATGCTGTGCCCCGTTAGATTTTAAATTGTCTTTTCTGTTTGCTTATCTTTGAATCTATGTTTGCTGTGTACTTATACAGATGTGTCTTACTCCGATACCACATTGACAACAAAACCCGCTTCCTCACCAGAGCTCAGCTCGTTTCTTCGTCTTTAGCTCGACCCATTTCCTCTTGATTGTGAATTCCACTTTTGACCTCGCTGAAGTGTCTTCACACCTTCACATGGCACATGACTCTTTGAGCGGGCTGGTTAATGTTCAACCTTTGACCTCGCTGAAGTGTCTTCACACCTTCACATGGCACATGACTCTTTGAGCGGGGCTGGTTTAATGTTCGACCTTTTGACCTCGCTGAAGTGTCTTCACACCTTCACATGGCACATGACTCTTTGAGCGGGCTGGTTTAATGTTCGACCTTTTCCAGCTTCACCAGTTGGATATCGTTTCGGGTCGGTAGAGGTCATGACTCGTAACACCTAATGGCTGAAGAAGGAACTGACTGCGGCGTCGCGTGCAAGCGATCACGCCAGATTGTATCATGTGATGCCCCCACCCTCTCCTGGCCCCCCCCCCCCCCCCACTAGAGCGCTTAGCGCTTACACTATGCGCAAATAACCAATGGGGTTGACGCACTCTTAAAACTTAATATCTAGCTAAGTGATGATGCCCGCTCGGTGACTGGGGTTATTATGCCCCTGAGCCGCCTGGGGCAGACGATCAAGCAACCGACCGGCCGTCACACTGGACGCCGGCCGGTA